CCGTACCTACTACTACTAGTCACATATCGATGTTGATTCAACACTTAGACGAAATGTTCACACGAATAGACTATTCGAGTCCGTGAGTCGACAGTCGCTGTCAACTGGGAGCCCCAAGGTTGATACTTTAGATTGATCGTAACTAAACAATGAATTGATGTCCGTCACTACTTAGATGTAACTTATATTATATTATTGTATATCTACTTACTTAGTACTCGCTCCCACTTGACGCCGAGCCGCTCACGGACGCGACAAAATGGAGGGATAATATTTTTTTACACAAATATTATTGAATGCTCAAACGTGCTATATTTTATGTTGGTAATATTATTATTATTATCTAATCTAGTTCCTTGTTGATCGTTCAGAATTTGCCATTATTTGATACTTGACAAATGTATAGTTGATTTGTGATTACTTTCTATAAGGATGTGTTGTAAATGTGTCTACGTGTACCTACGTGTTGTGATATACCTTTGTATGTATGGTTTGTTTCATCGTGTTCTAACTATAATTTGATGGTACAAACCGGGCAATACCTGAACAATGTTGCTCAAACTGATTAGCGAATGTGTCACCGTAGCCTGGCACTCGGTATATACGACCTTCACATCAAGCTATCCCTTCTCCTTTCCTAGTTTTCAACTCTATTCCGTTCGTGATAAAATTGAAAATCTAAACAAAGGCGTAGGGTCAGCTCGATGTGTCCCGTACATACTGCCCAGCTGCTCCCAAAGTTGACAAATTATTTTCAAATAACAAAATACTTCGTGGTTGTGATGTTTCTTAGTCTACTCTTTTATTGTCTTCCGATACTTCTAACTAAATTAATTTTGGGGCAGAATTCCTCGTAAAAGACATGTTGTAACAAATTAGTCTTGAATTTTATTTATCTACTGTTGTTAACGACTTCTTGTTTAGAGTAAAATTAACCAATAACTATTTATGATTGCGTGCAACGCGTGCTACACTCAGTATTATGGAAGTGGCTCTTAATATCTACATATATCGGAGAATATTTACGTCTGACTTTTTGTAGAACCACGTCTGTCTTGTATCGCGACTATTGTGTCTACACTGAGAACTACTGATACGGGACAGTAAGCATTGACTACAAAGATTTTTTACTAAATCAATATTAGAAAAAATACTAATATAGGTAGTTAATATGAAACTATAAAGACAAATGTTTCTCTATAAGTACAACGATATTAACTGTTTGTGATAAATTATAGTACATAACTTTAAAATAGAGTCTGCAATGCATCAGTTCCGTATCAAAACAAATTCTCTATAGACATTAAATTTTCTAGAAACTAAATAGTTACCATTTATTTAAAGATTCATCTCAAGACGTAATAACCGCGGTACTCCACAGACGATAACCACACGACACAGGTACAAAGACGTATTATTTACTTACTTATATCTATTTAGATAGAATATACTTTCGCTCTCCTTCCACGGGTACCTGACCAGAGTTCTGCCACACGATAACTACTTAATCATAATAATATTGTAAATTATTCATAAATCACTAACTTGCGTGATTATTTGGTTGTGTTTATCTATCTTAACAATTTAGACGAAATTTTCTAATAGTACGTGTTATTCTATATTTTCTAACTCGATGCCAATGTTCTGCCAAATTGTTAGTTAAAATTAGGTACAAACTAGAAGGAAATATTACTAAGTGAACAATCTGCCTAAGTTAAATAGTCGCGTTTCATTTAGATTAAGGCAAGGCTTGTACTGAAACCCCAAACGTAAGGCTTTAGTGGCTCAAACTAGTTTATGTTTCATGTAACAACTACTGTGGAACTAAGTACCGTTTGTGTTACATCTGAGACCGCCTCGTATCTTGTAGACCGCAGATCGATCGTTCTTTTCACATTAGGAGAGCACACAGTTATTTTCTTATAAAAAAAATAAGTCATATAAAACGAATGTGTAAATACTGAATATTTTTCCAAAGTACACTATACCGGAGATAGTTCTACGTCGTACTCGTAATACAATTTATTAAAGACAAGTCCCTCCAGAAATATTTTTAACAATACTCTAGCCGTTAAGACTGAAAGGTACTTTCTAAATTCACGTTAGATTCGTTTATTTCGCGTAAATGGACCGACAGCTTTTCCTTTCTCTGTATAATAACTGTGCGTAGTGTAGTCCAGTCGTGTCGTCACTAACCCATTCCATGCCCATTCATACTAGTCAGGGTATAGCTTTGTAATGATGCCCAACTTTAACCAAAGTAACGTAGCGTAACGCGCCCCCTAGCGGTCAGTAGGAAACGTCGCTGTATTCTAATAGAAATATGCACTCACCTAAGTATTAAAATTAACTTAAGATTGACGATTTAAACAAAACTTATTTCAACTTAAATATAGAAGTGCCTTACAATTTTAATTTTTATACTATTTTCTTAATTTATATTCGTTTTAATATCTAAAAGCACTGGAAATTGCATTTATTGATCCACTGTCCGTTCTGCTAGGACAGAACCGATGTGAGGATCGCACTGTCGTGTTTTGTTTTATGTTCGTTTCGTTTCTTTAAATTAAAATATTCTTAGAAAGTAAAAAATTAGAGGTTTAAAGAAAACCAAAAAGACGTTATTTTTTCATATTTCTTTAAAAATTAGGAACGTCTATAGTATTAAATATCACAAAGTTCATGTACAACATTATCAGATAATCGTAACCCACAATAACTAAAGGTCAATTGTATGAAGAGTCTAATAACGTGAGGAATACATTATACCAGATATTGTAACATAATGGATCGCCATTGAATACAGCGCTAATTAAGTGTAAGTACTAAATGTTAATGTAATACCGATGTTCTGTTCGCTTGAATGTTCTTGTATCCGAGTCTCGTTTCAATCTGTAGTCCTGGCACATAGTGTAAATGTAAGTACTTCTGTATTTGTGTGAACACATAAAATGTTACTATAGTATTAATATTTTGTAAGTCTAAATGGATATTATATTCTTCTAATTTTGTATGTCCGAGGTGCGCCCGCGCCCGCTCCGGTACTACGTAACGTACTTAATACGTACTTGTAATATAACTGTAGACGATTAATGTACACGTGCCAAACGCACGATAATTGATATTACACTCTGTGTTGTGATTTTGAAAATTCTGTAAATTACAAGTCTTTGAAAATACTATGGAAAAATGTAGACACCTTTTTAGATTAGCACAATTCTTCGCGTAGACACATTAGGCCAAAAATTTACTAAGCATTTAGAATTAACGAAGACGTAGGTATTCATTGGAAGATGTAAGTGTAATGTATGGATAGATTCATTGTTATATTCGATCAATGTGATGATTCGTAAGAACAACGACTTAACTCGAGTCCTGTACCCTACCGTGCTGGGCGACTCTTCACAACTTCGCATATCTTTGAAACAATAAGTAATAAAATTAATCTCTATTATATATATTGATAAATTTATTAGGGTAACTAATTTTTTAAGACAATGACTATTACGTGATCTTTTAGATTGTCTTTATTAATAAATATATGGTGAAGGTTTTGTCAATTTGTTTTTATTTTTACCCCATTGTACCTCTATTTTATACCATAATTAAATACTCACTGAGTATCAAATTAATGAATTTTATTCTTAATTCGGTACAGCAATGCTCCTGATGCTAGCAAGCCTACGTAAGTAGCAACATAACTCCTGAAACTACGCCGTAGCAGGACTGCGTAGGTTCCAATGTGACTGCTTATGCTACGTAGCAGGGTTACCTAAGTAACGTTGGGTGATAAAGGTTGCATGCACGCTCGGCTAAAATCAAGGACAACTCGGCTAAAATGAATGCTGAATGACAGGATGACTTTCGATATTGAGACGGTAATTATGGAAGTGCAGTGTTACCCTGCCACATGTGACCAGGCGAATGGACTGTATAAAGACCGAGACGCCCGAATAGCGGCATGGGTACAATAAAATAAAAATAAAAATAAAATCTTTAAATATATGGTTTTATTTCGAAATAACTCGTCTTAGACTTAAAATACTTTTCCCCCGCACTAGGATTTTCCTGTGTCGTGTGTGCGTTTACAAACATACAATATAACACATGACACAAAGACCCGTAATAATTTGTGGATCACACCGTGCGGGAATCGAATCCGTTACACGTAGACTTGTACAGATATATTAAAAAAATTGTAAATTAGTCATCGTTTTCTCTTCATTTACTGAACTTTACAACAAATTCCCCGCACAACAACCAAGATTCAGTAAACGGCCTTACCTACTGTCTGCCGTTTTTTTTTTTTTGCTAGTCGTCGTTTTGCTACGTATTATTAAGTCACCGAAACGACTATACAAGAGCACTGACACACCAAAATGAAACTGCGTAAGTCTGTCTTCGCGACGGATGCCCGCAACGGGGACCGTCTCGTACCCACAGAGCCACCCCGCGTGTCCACACGCGGCGGTTGACCGTCGCGGGCGCCCATTCGAGCCTGATACCACACCGTAGTAGGACTATGTAAGTTGTAACGTACTCCAGGTACTACGCCGTAGCAGAACTACTTAAGTTACGATACACATCAATATTAAAATATCTCAAAATCTCGAGGTCTTGGTGCTTACTCTTGAAACCAATCGCAATGTCAATGCAATTTCAGTCCAATAAAATTTCAATAATTATCCAATGTCAAAACTATACAATCTATCGTAGCTGTTAAAATAGCATTCAGAGTACGGATTAAAAAGCCAAACTCAATACCATTTAGTTCAATCAATATCCACGCAATACGGTTGCAATGGGCGCTAAGGTGGCAACTCAAGAAGAGTTGCTATTGATTGCGCCCTTTCGTTTTTATTGATTTTGTGAAATTGCGAAATTTCACAATATCAATGTCGATAGATCGGAATTGGATTCATGAGTAAACCCCCTGGTCTAATTTATTTCACTCTGCGCGTGATAAGGTGAGGTAAGAGGAGGCAAGTAAAATATAAAAATAAAACCAACATTGTCGTCTCCATCCGTTTATTAAGAACATTGTTATCACAATGAATCTTATCTACAGATCGATAAAACTCTGTTACAATTACGCAAAACAATAGATGGACAACAAAAAATAAAATAAAAATATTAACACATTAACACCCACGGAATTATAATCAATCACTATTGAATTACAATTTACAATATTTTGATATATTTGCATGCCAATTTTACACTTTAACGTTTACAACTTAGGTGTAGTGTTGCAATGAAATAAATGCAAGAAGAATGGCAAACACGTAATTATAATAATGAGTTTGTAATAGCAGAGCATAAAGGAGTATTTAGCTTCAAGAAAATGTAACTATTGTGCTGTTTTCAGTCTCTGGTGCCTAGGTAAACATGAACACTGTAGATATACAAAATAAATGCAGAACACAACACTACAAGTAAAGTTGTAAACTTACAAAAGTATTTCATGAATAACATTACTAGGGAATGTCCACTAGTTTCCATCAGAACAATACAGACTTTGGTTATATTTATAGTTACGACACGTACAACAAGACACAACAAATGCATCCTTGTTGACTAGGTGTTACAATAAAACGGTGTAAGTACTGAAGTGTAGCGAGGCAACATTATCATTATTATAAGAATTTAATAAATTACTTGAAAAATTAAGATACGGACAGTAGGACAAATAGCGCTAAATATAAATTCAATTATTATACAAATGGACGTAGCAATTACAATTATAATTCAGATTTACTCTGTTATTGTGTCGCGAACACATTGCACAGCTCTCACGACGGAGCGACTCCCGCGCTCTACATAATAAAGTCACGACTGAGGATACTTGACTACGAAATCATATTCATATATAGCCATTACCTTAACACAATTACACAATCTATTAAAATTGACAGAATAGTAATATTTACTCGAAATTATTCATGTACTACGGACTAAACGAATCTCGAGAAATGAGGGGACATTATGCTGTCTAATTTACATGTATATTTATTCAGTTACGACACATTATTGTAATTACTTCCAATACACAAATAGTCAGCGATACACTATACATTATCATACACGACTAACACAAACGTAAGTCGCAGTATTGCCACACAATATTATTAAATACGGAATACAATATAATTTCAAATACAAAGTAAATGAAGCATATTTACAGATCCCACTTTCTTCGTACATAAACAAATATATTACTTCTGTACTATTAATAATTTTCTTTATTAGAATTATTGCATTTTCTAAGTATTTATGAGAAAAATCAACACTTATTTTAAACACCAATCTACCCAGTGCTAGAACGAACTAAATATTTTATAGAAACATTTTTTTATCTAATGGACTAAAATACAATATATATTGGTGTCAGTCATCGTCAGTTTAAAAAACGTCAGTGGCGGCTCCGTGTCTTGTATGCCACTACGATCACATACACAAATATTTCACACACATACCTATAAGAAGAATTACTTGTATGAAAAACTCACGCGAACACCTACACAAAAATATTGAATATTATTAAGATATCAAATGGGGAAATTACGACAGCAATTTTTAAATAGGCCAACGAGGGCAACAGGATCGGATAATAAGGTCAATATGAAACGACGATAATAGTAACTTGGTATTAATGGAACAATATTCAATATCTATTGTCGCAAACTTTAGGCCTTCAATGGAAGATAATTCTAATACACGTAAGATTTCACTTGAAAAACAATACTATATATACAAACAATACTTATGCGAGAAACCTAAATTGCACAAGAATAGTGAAGAGAGAAAAAATGAAACGAGTAATACATCAGTTTTATAGAATGTTCAATTCATTATTATGCCAAGAGAGAATGACGTGAAATCTTACTTGCAGTAGAGCCACAGGAACAGTTCACTGTGCGAGCGAGTCATTATCTTCTTGTAGTAGTGCGAGGGCGTGCAGCAAGTTGTCCATACAGTGGTGGCAGACAGGCGTGTGCACAAAACACGGCGCGGCGCCACTGCGGCGGCACTAGCTGCGCAGGCGGCGGGCCCGGCGCGCGCGCCGCCGGCCTCGCACGCTGCGTCACTCCAACTTCACCGCCTTCTTACCCTTCACGACCGTCGGTTTGTTTTTCAGCATGCCTTTTCGTCTTTTAGTTGTCTGTAGGAAAATAACACATTATTATACCGAGTCTATAACAAAAGTTATGACGTCAAGCACTGCAGCCAGTAAGTCACATACATTGAGTCCGTTATACGTACGTCGCGTCACATGCAATCAATAATAACACTACATCAATATTTTTTACTAAATGATGAAACTCTAAAAAATAATATGTGAAATAAAAGTAGTCTGTTAAAATAACATAATCATCCTGCTACTGTACATCGAACTGGGATGTACTGTAAAAAATACTGTTGGAGTACATAGTAATGGGCGAACGTTTTACATGCGGGGTTAAAGATTTCAGATTATTTTTTTTAAGGGATAAACCGGTTTAGGATCACACGGATCACCTGATGGTAAGCCATCGGCGCTGCCCATGGACACCTGAAATACCAGAGGCTTTACAAGTTCGTTACCCTCCTTTTGGGAATTGGGAATTTGAGGATTGTGAAGGATTCGGGGATAGGAGAGATTGGGTGGGGGGGTAATTGGGACTCCGGTAACCTCAGTCACACGACGACACACAACGCAAGCGCTGGTTCACGTCGGTTTTCTGTGAGGCCGTGGTATCACTCCGGTCGAGCCGGCCCCTTCATGCCGAAGCATGGCTCTCCCACACTTATTGTATAGATGGGCAAGAAAAATCATGTCATGCCCTGCACCCCATAACAAACAAGACAAGGCTATCCCGGTGAACAACAGACAATGCATTTCCATTTAATTACTTGGAAAAACCATCAATGCACCATATAGAATCCTTTCAAGGGCCAGAGTTCAGCCCTTAGTTTACCCGTCAGTTATAGGTACGGATTCTTTACAAAAAAACATTATAAATAACGAGAAAACCAAAACAATACAAACAAAACAATATAGCATTATTACTTTATCACAAACATAACAAAAAAACGTTACCATAAAATTCAAAACTCTCCGCTATAAACTGAAATATGATTTCTACAGTTCTATAGGAAGATAGATAAGCGCAGATGGTATGACGTCACACAAGCACAGACTACATATAACCACATACATGTCAAACAGAACTCAACAGGGTACTATACCATCGGTCCGCCTCCTAAGGCATGCTGGAATGCGAGAAAATTTGTCAGTACATCGTTAGTCACACAATTTTTTTATGAATCTACATAATTTTTAATGTGTACAATTAGTCAAATTTCTATAAACGACAATGTGTAGGTACATTTTGACGTCATAACTTTATTATGTTAATTAGTTATTTATTTGTGCCTTGGTCTTGAATTCATGGTCAAACAAAAAAATTTGGTTTTGACTAAAGAAACATCTCAAATTAGTTCTAGTTAGCTAATCCCATGTGTATTTGTGAAAATTGTTAGTTAATAGCAAGGACCGTATAGTCCATGAACAGTAATTAAGTTGCCAATAATAATAACTTATCCTCGACAACACACATAAATCTTTCATTTGTTAACTTTATGCGCAAAATGCGCAAACTGTTTGCGCAATGATTTTTGGTTTCATCTAGTTTGCGCGACATGCAGTATCATTTTGTCATTTCAAACATATTCATTTAACAATTAATGTAAATTGTTAAATTGTGCCTGAGAATTATAACAGGTACAAAAACAGATGCACGTGTCATTTGCACGTAAGCCATTAGTAAACATAGAACCCCAAAATCCTTCTAGATTAGTTTAAGAAGATGGTTAGTATGTTAATATAATATTGTTTGTATAAATTATCTCACCTTTTTAGATATAGTGTTGCTAGTCGGGACTGTTCGTTTTGCAAGCGGCAAGCGTGGACGGTTGAACTCATCTGGTTTTTTCACTCTGAAAATATAATTAAATAATTTAAATAGCTACAAGATAATTTGATTATTCCCAAAGAACAGAGTTTTGCAATAGATTGTTCTTACAATTTTGTTTATGTGCGAGTGTAACTGAACCTTTAAAAAAGAAGATATCCGTTCGAAATATCCTTTTTCATTAACTTCTCTTAAATTATAAGGAACTTTTAAACTAAGATATATATACATTTATCTATTAGATTTTGGGTTACAACAGCCTTTTAAGTGACACTTAAAAATACAGGTAATGGGTTAGTCTAGATGCTGCCTCACGTTAGATAACTCTTACTTATGAGGTAATCATTAAACTAGTATAATTTCGTTTATCAAGTAGTTTTTACCTGTATATCCGGACCAGCCAGTGTTCAGTAGTGTAAGCTTCCTCTAGGTAAGTGAGTTTGAAGCCGCGGTTGCCTGGCAACGCCCCGCGTGTCCTGTCGTAGCCTGGCGGACTACCGCCACTGTCGTATCTACAAATATGTAGAAGATAATAATATAACTAAACGATCAAGAAATATACAACATCAAAAGTAGGTTTTGTCATGGAATGAACTAATTGACTGCCTCGTCAGAGTCGTCACAAGTGTGACTGTCTAACTTACCTATAATATGATAGTTTGTACATTAGACAGTTCAACATAGTTTTCGACGCTTCCGAGTCGACCCTGTATTCGCCTCGCTCTGTGAAGTAATCAGCTTCCTGTAAAAAAACAAAAAAATATGTTAAAATATTGAGTCTACTTGGTGTATTATTGTACCTAGATTACCGACCAAGGGTTTTCTCGGATTCAATTTCAGGTTTAGAAAGTATATATATTGTTAGAAGCATACACAAAAAAAACCATACGTTATCGCATAGCGCGAAAATGTCTGTGGTTCGAGAAATGACAAAGTCAAGATGGCGGGAACTCGGAAGTTATTGAGACGGCGTATTTGGTGTTGACGGAATGTTAATCTATTTGAAAGTCAAATTGCCTATTTATGTGTTGTTGTTATTGTTTTTCTTTTCAATTAATAGTTATGGTTTAGCTAGTCCTGATTTTGTAATTAGATTTGTATGTTAACAATATAAGTGCATTGTAACGGTAGTACAATTTAATTTCCTTGCCTTCGAAATTTCTAAAGTCCAATGTGATTTAAAACTAATAAGTTTCTAATATCAAAGAGTAAACCATCAATTTACTTAATGAATCTATACACAAATAAACAAATCAGACCTACAATACATCTTTCTACAAATTCCTATTCAATCACACAAAAGAATCTTCGTAAAATACAAAACGACTCACATGAATATCCTTGGGATGTTCTCCTTCAGCGATACGGACCATCCAGATGAACTTGTTGATGTCATCGCCGGAGTATCCGATAGCTCCGCCGAATATCACCAGCACGTAGTCCACGTCCAACATAGTCATTATGTCATAGGCAGCTGACTCGTTACTGGCCATAGCCTTGCCCACGAGCGCTATGTGGGAATTATTCCATGTGTTGTTGTCTACTAACGTCGTCCGGTTACCCATGCCCGCGATCTGGAAAAAAATGTAAATTATATTTTTTATATCTATACTGAGTGCTTAGGAACTAATAATGTGTTTAAAATAAAATCTATCTATACATTGTAAGAGGAAGAGAATTTTTGTTAGTTTGAACGCAACTGAATCGCAAATGAAACGCAAATAAAATATCACGCTGCGATCAATAGAAACGTCGTTGTAGTGGAAGTCGTGGTGGCCCGGAGGTTTAAGACGTCCACTTCTCATGCATGAAGGTGCGGGTTCGAAACCTACCAACGGCAAGTACCAATGTGACTTTTTCCGAGTTATATGTACTTTTTAAAATTATTCAGACACTACTGACAAACGGTGAAGGAAAACATCGTGGGGAAACCTGGGCTTATACCTCTAATTTCTAATTATAAGTTTGAAATCGCCAACCCGCATTGAGCAAGCGTGGTGATTAATGCTCTAACCTTCTCCGTGTGAGAAGTGGCTTTGCTCAGCAGTGGGCATTTATAGGCTGTTGATGATGATGATCAATAGAAACTGAGGAGGCGAGGTGAATCCGCGGGGGAAAAGCTAGTGATAGATACTTTAACCAGACGAGCTCACACTTGATGGTAAGCGATTGGTGCTATCTGCAACAACTAGACGAGTTAGATAAGCGTTACTAAGCTTTATAAATGTTGTTTTTCGTCCCTAATCTTATACTATTATATTAAGCTGAAGAGTTTGTTTGTTTTAACGCGCTAATCTCCGTAACCACTGGTCCGATTTGAATGATAGGGTGAATGTGAATGATAGGGTAGATGCCAAATTTTTATTTTAATGTCCGTCTGGTTGATTATTTTAAATAATTAAACACGTATTTTTTATTTTCTTACAGAAACGAATTCTTTTGACTATATATTGATTTGAAAGGTCGCGTGACGTCACTTCTATGTACATTTTATACGTAGAAATGACGTTTTAGCCCCCACTCTAAACTTTAATTCGTTTTATCTGAGTATTGTTTTATTATACGACAAAAAAAGTACGTGTAATAACAATAATCTTAACGGAGAACCTTGGAAAACCGTAATCAAATTCCATCAACACAAATGAATGGAAATAATGCCAATTAAAATATACATGTAAACATGGGCATAAATTATTAATGGTACAACAGTAAATGAAATCCATACACTGTCAAAGTAAATTAATTTTAATCTAAACTTATGTTACTCATGTTATTACATTATCGCAAAATCTTGATTACTGTTAATCGATATGAATAACTGAAGCTACATAGAAAGCATTTGTATTTAATTAATAATTAGAAATGCATTAGGTAGTTCCATAATTTCCTGAATTTTTCTTGCGATTTTTCCAACGCCAGATAAAATTTTGCTAAGGGATAATTTTGTACATTTTACAATTCTTCCATACTAAAAACTGTCAAATGTCAATTTTATTCTACAGGAAAGAATTAACTGATGATTGAAATATTGGCGCTTAAAGAATCTAGAAATATAACCTATACTATAGTGTCAATCAAGAAAGAGTGCGACGAATACGTCGTCAACGTCGTCACGAGACGTTTTTGTCTAACCATAAGACGTTGCTACCATCCGTGCGTCACTGTAGGGTGCCCACTGAAAATCAGTGCTGGGTGACTCGTACGGAGAACCTAACGGGTAACCGGGGCTCCGGCTCGACGGGCAGGAGAAGGAACGGAGTGGTTTTTAGTCAGTAAGAGGCTGACACTCCCTCCCGCCTCACCCATGCGGGAGCAGTCAATCGATGATTTTAGCCGCTTAAAAAAAATGCCTAGCTTACACTGAGTGGGTATTTTTTATATTTTACTTATGCTGCATCGTATCTGGTTCTGAATAAATGTTCTTTCTTTCTTAGAACACACAAATTCACCTCACATCTAAACATAGAACAACAATTTACGGATCACACAAAGTTGTTCCGTGCCGCGATACGATGCAATGACGGTGCAGTCTAACCACTGTTTATTCCCTTACCTGATATCCATAATCCCACCACGACATGACCCTCGCGTCTTCAGCAGTGTTCTGCGACAACCAGCCATAAGCTTCTCTGAAGTCGTCCAGGATTTTACGAGTTCTAGAAAAAAGGAGGTTTGGTCAATAAGTTGAGTGTGTTGTGCTCGAGTGTATTTGCACTATGAATTAAGAAAATGAATAAAGTGGGCTTGTTTCTTACAAAGAGTTCTTTAAAAGAATCTACAAGATGTCTCAGATCGATCGCAGAACGGCAGTGCGAGAGGCAAAATTGGGAGAACTGGAATGAATGGAGAACTTTATATAGGCGCCATCGACTAAAGATGGCGGAGGTCACATAAAAGTAGAGTTACTTTTATGTTCCATAACTTTCGATTAGATTTCGATAGACAAACCCACCTTCTATCCTTGCGAAGAGTAAAGACGCGTTGTTATATCTTAAATAGATAACTTACCCATCATTTCCGTAGCTAGCGAGCACAATACTAGGACTGGAGTACGCATTAGAGGTGGCCCAGGTGCAGTGCACGGAGAACAGCATGAGCAGTATCATGATCAGTATCAACGTCACGGAGCGGACGTTCATGCCGAGTCCAGGGTCCACTGGCGCGGGCTGCTCGTGCGTACGCTTCTTTAGTTTACCGGCCTGTTAAAATGTTATTTTCTTTAAAAAAAACTTGCTAAGGAAGAAGATTAATTTAATGTAATTTGTCAAAAGAATTTCGACTTTAATAAAAAAAACTATAAATGGACAAATCTTATTGGTGTAATTGACTTACTGACGTATGTATAGAAGTTACAGTGTCACACTAGAGTAAGACATTTTGATATTAATGCGAGAAGCGATATATTAGACAATAAAAGTTCGATATAATCCTTTTTCCTGGCATCTGGACTAGCCTTACCACGTAAAATCTACCCAATATTATTAAGAACCTAGAAAGGCTTCATAAACGAGCTAAATTCATCAAAAAATTGCAAATCCACAATACCTTGTCATACAAACTCTTGGACTCTTCAGTTTCGTCTTGTTGAGTGGGCAGTTCCTCCTCCCTGAGGACGAGGTCACAAAGTATGGAGAACGCAATGCCTGCCAGTACACAAACCACGGGCGTCAGGGTCAGCATCAATCGGACCATCACACCAGCGAAGTACACCGCACTCAAAGCGTATAGGGCCACTGGAATGAAAATACGGCTGTTTAAAATAATATATTAACTGTGTTACAGGTGCTATAATTAAACTATAATTAAATACATGCCCACTGATATAACGGATAAAAAATAGTATTAAGGGCCTGTTTCACTATACCTAGATAGCTGCTATTTATCAGACATATTTGAATTAAGAACGTAATTTATATGAACTATCTGTCACATAAGTTTATCAGGTACTTATATGGAGGTGGTGAAATCGACGCTAAATATCAAAGACAATGGAAACAGTTAAAAACAAATCAATATTCCTGTAAAAAATGATGTCAGTTACTTGTTTCATAAAATAACCGTTTTGGTGTTTACAATTAAAATAAGGAGCAAAACCAAATCACATTTTACTTAGGAATTGCAAAACAAATCTTACCAAAAACTCTCTCATCATTGATATGCTTGATGCAATACCACAGGCCGACAGGGAAGGTGCACACGAGGACGTGAAGGTCGAAGAAGAATGATGACCAGGTCGTAGGTTGATGTTCTGACACTGACGCGATGATAGGAATGTGGATCTTTGCGTACGTCGTGTCCCATAGAGAGTAGAATCTGAAATAAATAATAGTTTTAGAAAACTATATCGTATATTATAATGGCAAGTGAGTGAGGTTATCGAAGTCCCAAAGACCTGCAACGGACTTGCAATTCCTCTTGTGATGCGAGGCTATACAGGCGGCACCAATTGTTTACTATTAGGTTTACTGTATGTTCGGTTGCCACCCAGTCCCACAAAAGAAAATACCAAGGCTAACAACGATATTTTTCACAAATTAAAATTGTGATTTGCGCAAACACTTGCGCTAATTTGTGCAACATTTGACAGTTATTAACAACTTTATTTCAAAGCAATAAGGGTCAATTTCATAGTGCAAACGTTATTTACGAAGGGATATCTCATGTGGTTTACCACGCATTTGTTGACCAATAGCGCAAACCACAACATATTTATTGAGCAGGTCACGATCGATCAGCTTTAAACTATTGAATATCTTGTATGCAGTAATTAGGTCAAATGTTTAAAGTTAAATTTAAATAGTAGTACTAAATATAATACGAATTTGCCGACATACTGCGCACATGTAACATTAATTCCTAGAGATATACTAACAAGATCCTGAAGAAATTGACTCTAAAACGAGAAATCCTATAGAATAATATGTTCTATCAAAACTAACTATTCCACATAAACAACAATACTGCAGATTTCTGCATAAACATAACACAATACTTGGTTACAAAGTTATGTTAATCCATCGTGAAATGTAAGGATCGAGTTTAGTTCTCACGAACTCGCATATCAGGCAATAAAACAACGGCGCAGCTGTATTATGTCAACATTTGTAAAGAATCTACATACAAGACCACTGCCAGAGGAATGTGTCTCAGTTTTCCAATAAATCATTCATTCCCTAAGTGGAAAATTATTGGATTTATGTCGATTTTAACCATAATTCTATTGAATTTCTCCAAGTAAAAATCCTAGATCAAACCAGAAATTTGAAATCGAGTATTAGCTTCGACCGTTAATTATGAAGCTGCGCTCTTTCTTTTCTCAGGGTGTCAGTTTAACTATAGTTACAGTGAAGTCTGGAATCAAACGCTGTGTTTGTCAACAAGCTCTGATTGCAATACTACTAACAACACATTACCGACAAGAAACCAGTGTTGTACCTTAAACAAGTCTTGGGTAAACAACAGGCGTAATGTTACAGAATATCACATAGAGACAGATTGTACATGTGGTCCAACACATGTATAAACAAGCTGTACAAATGTCCTGCATATGTATGTTCTTATTAATCAATCATTATAAGTTAACATGATACGAAAAAGGTTCGGTCGAAAGTGTCTATTCAGTCATTAAATAGCAACAAAGTCTATGGGTCCACCTAGGTTTTGACTCTAGAAGTGCTCGTTTGCATTCTCAACCGTCATTGGTCGAGATTATTCTGACAACCAATGACATGGCGGAGCGCGGTCGAGCTCAATTCGAGAATTCCAATTGACATCTTACAGAATAGCCCTGCTGAGAGTAAATCACTGTAGTCTAAGTGCACATATAACACATAGGCATCAATATACTACAACAGTAAAGACATTCAATAACAATAAAGACTTTTTTTTAAGGGAAAATCATCGAATGACTGCTCCTGCCTGGGTGAGGCGGGAGGGAGTGCCAGACTCTTACTGACTAAAAACCACCCCGTTGCTTCTCCTGCACGACGAGCCGGAGCCCCGGTTACCCGTTAGGTTCTCCGCGACTCCGAATCGGCATCGGCCCTATTGGGCCCCATCTGTGGTGGTCTAATGGCTCTTTGAGGCGCGCGCGGAACGCGACGCGCCGTACGCTCGGGTCTGTTTCTGGTCGGACGGGGAGCCACCCATGCTCGGCGTCCGCAGGCCCGCGCTTACGGTGGCCGGAGATCGTCTCGCGATCCCCGACGCCCGAACAATAAAGACTTAGGTTCTCAACAGACTCTAAGCAGTCGTGTCACGACTGTAATTGAACTGCAAATCAATCGAGCAATCCGGTTGCAGTTCTATAGCAGTCGTGTCAACTGCATACGAACTGCATCCGAACTGCAATTTGCAGTTGAAATGCGGTCCGTCTGTCTAGAGCCTAAGAGCCGCCCGAACTTGGTTGTAGTAAGAAGTCACTACAACCAAGTTCACCTGCAATACAAAGACATCACATTGCGTTTCCAACTATGAAAGACATTGTTGAAATGTTTACTAACACTGAAACCGGTTTAAAAGCAGACATATCTTGTGATACAAAAATCTTTACACTTTTTTAAAATACTAACTGTCTATTCTAGAAATACTAAAATATTTCTGCGAATGGAACTCCAAAACCAAATAAGCTATTAAAAGTAACTACTTATATTTTTTTATTTTAAATTAAACTGTCAAACACCAAGCGGTCACCGGTGACCGCAACCTATTGTTCTATAATTGTGTCTACAAAACCGGTACTCGATGAGTTAAAAGCTTATTTGGTTGGTTGTGTGGTTGCCGAGGCTCCAGCTCGAAGAGCAGGAATAGGAACGGAGTGGTTTTAATTCAATAAGAGTCTGACACTCCTTCCCGCCTAACCCAGGCGGGAGTAGTCAATCGATGATTGAAAAAAAACACAGACCGACTAGTGATAATACCTGTGTCATTATTCAGTTCACGTATGTACAATATAAAGGACATAAATTAGTAACGAACCTGCCACTCCAAGGCGCGATGACTCCAGCGTATGTCAGCAACACGACAGCCAGGAACACGGCCCCGGCAGCAGCCAGACCGCCCAGGATCAGCAGCTGCTTCCACTGACCCTTGGGGTTCAAACTGTGCAGGTACTTCAGTGCACCAATTGCCATCAGCAACGCGAATACACCTGTGGACAAAGATAATTTTATAAATTGTCTGTTTTTGGCAAAAATATTATACCTAACATAACATTACAAAACAGCACGGCTTTTATCCCCGATGGGGTAGGCAGAAGTGCACACAGAAGTAACACCCACTTTTCACTATTTATGTTATGAGTCGCATGTAATAGGGGGTGAGCCTATTGCCATATACCGGGCACATTTCCAGACTCCGTGCTACTACTGAGAATTTTTTAGAACCCCAGTTATTACTTGGCCCGACCCGGGAATCGAACCCGAGACACCTTTGCCTGGCAGTCGAACTTGCGACCACTCGGCCAACGAGGCAGTCTCAGTATACCTAAGTATGAAACTTAATGACCAATTGAGAAAAGTGAGAAGTCAGTGAGACTTCAGGTATAAACTTCTTTATTTTATTAAAAAGTCAAGTAAAAGTCTGTATGTCACGAGCACGACGGATTTATTAAAGTGTGCGAAACCACTCGTTATTAAACATTAGTTAAACAAATCTTTTGGTCCCTCCAAAAGATTTGGACTAATTACAATTTGTTTATTTATCTCTAGCTCCAAAATAATAATGAATTGGACATCTATGACAAGGATTGACCGCAAAACACTTAACATAGAGAGGAGTGGAAGGAGGGTAGGGACTAGGGAGGCCTTTGCCATGCAGTGGGACGATCATGGTTGAAAATAAAATAAATAAATATATAAGCTCCAAAATAAGTACTTCCCAAAGCACGCGAAATCTATTAATCTCTAAAATAAACCAAAAAATCATGTAAACTAAAGAAAACTATAAGAGAAATAGTAATAAACGTCAGAGTGATAAAACAAACGTCGACTGTAATAGCAGTCGATTGATTCGCCACGGACCGTACGGTGTCGTTGGCCGCACCCGCACAAAACGTATTTTGTATGGCTTGAAATAGTTCAGGAATTCAGGATCTGAGTAAACAAACTGATACAAACAATGTTTGCGCTTAAATACCTACTGAGTACGAGAATACGGATTTAGTTTCGTAAGCGAGTAGAGAACTCCTCGTTTAATATCGTCTTTCTAATTCCAATTCATAGAAAGTCAAATGAAGTACCTATGCATTTAGTGATGCAAATTTTACTTGTAATCTAACGGGACCCTAAAATGAAACCCGTTTCCCGTTGTCACGCCATGACTTGAGAACGGTAAGACCGCTTGGGTTGTTTGTCAGGAGAAGGTTTTTATGACTGAAAAAAAACTTGAAAATCCTACGGCACCGAGAGAAAACGGGATTGCGCGTACGAAGTCGCGGGCACGTAGCTAGTGTTAGAAAAAAAATAATTTATTAGATAAAACGGCGACTTCGCTTATAAATATTTAATTATTCAGGATACGGACAAAAGTATGTGCTGATAATATTCTCCAGTAAGTAACTACAGCTGAAATGGGTAGCATAGATACTTGAATAGCTCCCTTTACTCTTTCGTGTTTAGGTTTTATGTTATGATGAACAACAACAGACAGTCATTAGGGTCAATCATACGATACGATCAATGTTTAATATTTACGATCCTATCCGATAACTATTTTTATACGATCTGATAGCAAAAGTGTAAACAACTTGTTCCGAACCGATAGAAAAATGTGTGAGAATAGAAGACGGCTAGCCAGGTGTATCTACGAGATAAAAGGTTTTTTTTTATGGAATAAGAGGCAAACCAGCAGATGGATCACCTAATGGTAAGCGACCAGCGCCGCCCATGGACACCCGCAACACCAGAGGAATCACAGGTGCGTTGCCGACGTTATCTTCTTCTTTATAATAAAAATGAATTTCCATTCGTTAGTCTCGCTAAAACTCGAAAACGGCTGAACCGATTTGGCTTAGCTTGTTCTAGAAATCGTGGAAGTCCAGGGAAGGTTTAAAAGATGAGAAAAAAATTTAGGCAGTACAAAGTTTGCCGGGTCACCTGGTAATAGTATAAAATTTGTGTAACCACAAAAGTGGAACCTAACTATGTAGTCAATAGACGTCTTCAAAACTCGTAAAAATACAGGTAAGTGTCTATATACGGCAGGTTATACGATGCGTCGTCTAGGTGTACCAAGTGATAAGGCACTTCATATGATTATAGTCCATTGCCCTCGATTACACTGAAGTTGACGTCGGACTAGACCCACAACAGAGGTACAATGGCTTTGCAAACATTATATAGGTCAGAGTATACAGGTAGACTTGTAGACTAATAGGTATCAGGTTTATTAGTACCGAGGACCGCCCTCTGAGAACATTTTATGCTCATTTCAAGCTTATTGGAGACATTCTTGAATAGGTAGAAGCAGTGCAGATAGATAGAAATTACTTTTCTTTCTTTCCCTTTCTTTCCATCTCTTTCTTTCTTTCTTCATACACGTGATAATTGTGATGGCAGTTAAAAAGACAAGGATCGTAGTATATGTAGCATTTTAAAGTCTTTTTAACCTCATGAGACGTGTTATATGAATTTAATAATACGGTATTTATCAACTAATCAAATTCAATGCTTTTATGAATTTTGTACCAAAAACTAACTTGTGACGTCATCAAATTTCCGAGTCAAAAAGCACACTTATTTCTGAAAGAATTGATAGACTATATCGAAAATTAAGTATATCGTCAAATATATGAATGAAGTTGTAATTATTTTTAAATTAAATATTTCATTGGATTGAAAAATCAAAATAATTTATTTATGGCCCATGAAAATACCTAATTGTGTTTTCAAATATTCTAAGTAAATTCGCCATTGAACTAAGCTGTAAGTTGGCCTATCGCCAAACGGCATTCAAGTGAAGTGTACTGCTTGAAGAAAATATTAACATACCAAACGAGTGGAATGCATTTAAATAGAAGAATATATGAAACCATAGAAACTAGAGTGTATACAAATTAATAATAATACAATAGAAGGACACATCATTAATAGTTGCATTCATTTTTATTCATGTCATTTTATGGTCAATATAGTGGGGTTTTTTAAGGGGGGAAACTCATCGAATGACTTCTTTCGCCTGGGTGAGGCGGGAGGGAGTGTCAGACTCTTACTGACTAAAAACCACCCCGTTGCTACTTCTGCACTTCGAGCCGGAGCCCCGGTAACCCGTTAGGTTCTCCGCGTCAAAAAGATAGGGTAAGGCGTAGACATTACATGTAATATCTATTTTAACCGATTACTTTATAAGTCTCATGATAATAGCTGGCAATACTGTTGCCATTCACTGAGAAGGATGCCATATTTCATACTATCACTCATAGCAAAATAATATTACCCAAGGGATTCCAGGGAATAAAACATTGCTCGACCAACTTCGGGTAGCTGTTTTTTTTTATGTGTCTGAATAAATAATATAGTAGCCATTTACTAACAAAAAAGTCCGAGTATTTTTAAACATATTACGCGACGAGTTTTAGCATAATTGAAGTTTAATTGAAGGTCATAAAGTTGAATTTTATATTGCTGTCGGTTGTTCATCCTATTAGGCAAATAGAGGTCATGGTCAGCCTAGACTGACAATGTTATCATGAAGTATAATCTATATAGGCACCGAGACATGTACAAGTGTGCAAGTATTTTCCTTGTTTTATAATAAAACTAGCGACCCGCCCCGGCTTCGCACGGGTGCAATATGCATGTATTATACATATATACCTTCCTTAAGAATCAATCTATCTATTGCAAAATATCGCATCAAAATCCGTTGCGTAGTTTTAAAGATCTAAGCATACATAGGGACATACAGACGGCGGATAGCGATTTTGTTTTATACTATGCAGTGATAACTAAGTATGATTTGAAACGTTAACCATATTAAAGATCGTGATATCAACATGTATCAAAAATTAATATAACAACATGGCTCTTATTCCCTGAAGGAGAAGTGAAGTGCAGCAACTTCACTTCTCAAAACTACAGTTCGCCAGATAACTATGCTACAGGTCTTAAGTTCACTTAACAAGCATGGCCGCGGCACGGCTCCAACCCAGCAATTAACTTGCCATTTAAATGTGAACTTTAAATCGTATGTGTATGAGATATTTCAAAACATCAATACAAAAAGGCTTTAAGCAAAAATTGCGGTGGCGGAGCCGTGCTTATTAGGTGTACAATCACTTTTATGCAATACGGTGCAGCCCATTGCTATACACCGGTCACAATAGGGATGATGATAGAGTATGAAAATTAAAAATATAATTAATCCGTAACTTAGGTAGTGAAAATATATTAGACACGTATTTTTTTATTTTGATGTACCTATAACAAAATGATACTTAGATATATCGAATCCAAGTTTAGGAGTGGGGGCTAAAACGTCATGTCTACGTATAAAATGTACCTACATAGAAGTTACGTCCCGCAAAATTTCAAATCAATATATCGTCGAAAGTATTCGTTTCAATAAAAAAATAAAAAAATACGTGTGTAATGTTTTAAAATAATCTACCAGACGGACATTAAGACTTTGACTGCCAATAAAAAACTGTTGAAGGTAAATCCTCCGCTAACCGACGTCCCCCGTCGCCGACGACCCCCATGCCGTTTAACGTGTTAAAATAAAAATTAGTCATCTATCCTATTTGTAATGAGACAGCAGATACATAAGCGCGAACTATATGTAAACTATACATAACACACACTCTTAGAATTGAGTAGCGGTTGAGTATTTGGACTAGTCTGACAAAAAATACTCCTAAATACCTCATGTATCACAAAATAGGACACATAAATCACTAAACATAACATAACATCACGCCTTTTATCCCCGAAGGGTGCAGAGGTGAACATTATGCCACTGTACAATGTAACACCCACTTTACACTATTTATGTTACGAGTCACATGTAATAGGGGGTGAGCCTATTGCCATATACCGGGCACAATTCCAGACTCCGTGCTACTACTGTGAATTTTTTTAAAAACCCAGTAATACTTTGCCCGACCCGGGAATCGAACCCGAGACCCCTTGCCCGGTCGCACTTGCGACCACTCGGCCAATGAGGCAGTCCTAATCAATAATGAGATACTCCTAAATACCTCATGTATTACAAAATAGGCCACATAAATCACGAAAACATAACGTTATTTTAAAAGCATAGTTACAATTGCAATAATTCATGCCATTACTATCGGGACAGATCGGTTTCGACCAATAAAAAAGCAACACTTCAATAAAATTTTCAATTCACCTTGAGCGCTAGCACGGCATACAAAGCGCAGTAAATTGTGAACATTCATAGGTTTATTTATCTATTTGATACCCGCGCAAACTTTACTACATTTGTTTATAAATTGTATTGAAATGAAGTAGACATTATCTACAACTGTATACTTATTAGTGGAAAACTAATATTTGATGGCAACTTCCAGCAGTTCGATCTGGATGCTTACTCTTGAAACCAATATCATTGTCAATGCAATTTCAATCCAATAAAATCTCAATAATTATCCAATGTTAAAACTATACAACCCATATCGTAGCTGCTAAAGTAGCATTTAGAGTACGGAATATAAAACCAAACTCAATACCATTTAGTTCATGAAATACCCACGCAATACGGTTGCAATGGGCGCTAATGTTACAACTTAAGAGACGAAATTTCACAATATCAATGTCGATCGATCGGAATTCGATTCAAGAGTAAGCACCCTGATCTTTATGGTTAGAGATAAAACATGAGATCAGCCCTTAAACAGTTTTGACCCATCTTTCGCCAAGTATTGATTACGTTATACGGGATGGGCCTATTACCACAAGCAATTCCAGACTTGATGCTATAACCGACATATTGTTAAAACTAGCTGATACCAGCGGCTTCGCTCAAGTGGAGTACGGACTTTGTGACTAACCTACGACATGTCATCCTCTATTTTCAAACTTATGCGTTTCTAGGTATATTACTCCAACCATAATGCACGCTATATAGTCCTACCTACAAACTTCGACACTTATTTCAATCTATATTGAATAAAACTTCCAGAAGATATTGTTGAAATAACCGAAAATACTCCAACAACTCGCCCAATTCAAGAATCAATCAAGACTGACTTTGAGAACTTTATTTTATTTTAACTAAAATCACTGGTTGCTCACGTGAATATACTGAGAAAAGCTGTACTAGTTTCGAACCACAGAGGGGTTCTTCTTCATGAGCAGCGTGAGCGGTTAGTATATTCACGTAACTAACTCGTGATTTTAGTTAATTTAGTATGTCTCACGATAGTTTTTATTTTCTTTTAATTTATTTATTTAGAAAACCAACAGCTTTACATATAGTTTACAATATTTTGCGTGAATTACAGAGATTAAGGCTAATAATAGGTTTCCCTTATTTCCTAGATTTTGTAAACATGCGAACGGACTTAATTAAGTTAGCAAAATAAGATCAAGAACAAACAATGATTTACTTAATCAGTTAGTTAATTACAAAGATTTCGGAATAATGATTTAAGATACGGAGTCGATGTCCTTTATTGTCATTAACGAACAACGGCCTTTTTCCTAAAATAATACTATGAAATATAATTATACTTTTTTTTTTTTTTTTTTTTTTTAAGGGGGGAAAATCATCGAATGACTGCCCCCGCCTGGGTGAGGCGGGAGGGAGTGTCAGACTCTTACTGACTAAAAACCACCCCGTTCCTTCTCCTGCACGTCGAGCCGGAGCCCCGGTTACCCGTTAGGTTCTCCGCGACAAATATAATTATACTAGCTTTTACCCGCGGCTTCGCTCGCGTCACAAAAGGATAAAAAGTAGCCTACGTGACATATAGGTACACACAGCGCCATCTATACCAATAATTTCGTTTTCCCTCGAGAATATCAAATTTTTCCGGGATAAAAAGTACCCTATTATTTAATCCAGACTTCTAACTTTACGTCTGCAAAAATTCAAAGCAATCGGTTTAGTAGTTACGGCTTGAAAGCGGAACAAACAAACTCACTTTCCGATTTATAATATTAGTTAGGATTTGTTTTCGAAATCCAATATGATTGAAACGCATAAAAACTATGTCCTACGTAGATTAAATAAAAGCAAAATGGTCGACAGAAAATCTCCTTTCATTATTAGTCTACCTTTTGTATTTCAATCAGCAAGCATGAATGTAGGTCGAGGCATGTTTCGCTATGTACCTACCTCCGTATGTAAACCGCTGCATTAGCGGTCAAATGTAGTAACCTATGTTCTAGTGAAAATATTTTATTATTTATTTATCATTTCATGTACCTACACCACACAGACAATATTACAAAGGGCAACACATTACAAGCATGAGGTACATAGGTCATAGGTACAGCATATCCCTATATATTTCAGTAGTATCTATTCATTCTATATGAGTGAATATTTAAAATTAAAATCGAGTAATAGTGGTGAACCTATAACAATTTTTAAACTGATGATGTAATTATCGTAATGTTATTTAAAAATTAAAAAAACAAAAGGAACCCTTATAACACTGCGTTGCCTGAACAACAAAACGTTTTGATCGGCAGGCGCAGTAGTATCCACTCAACCATCGACACAGTAACAGACGTTAAATAAAAATAATAATTAACGCCCTAATACTGAATGGCTAGATCGAGATGGCACGATATTTAAGTTGGATTTAAATAACGTGCCATCTCTGTTCAAAAGAATTTATACTGACAGAACTGTACTTAAGCGCGACTTAAAGTTGAGTGACTTTTGAGTATTTGGACATAAATAGTACAATAATAAAGCAATAGCCACAAGCTCACCCCAATAGGGTAGATGCGTAATTTTTATTTTAATGTCCGGCTGGTAAATTATTTTAAATCATTAGACACGTATTTTTTATTTTCTTACAGAAACGAATACTTTCGACGATATATTGATTTGAAATGTCGCGTGACGTCACTTCTATGTACCTACATTTTATACGTAGAAATGACGTTTTAGCCCCCACTCCTAAACTTTGATCCGTTATATCTAAGTATTGTTTTATTATACAACAAAATAAAAAAATACGTGTCTAATATTTTTTCATTACCTAACTTACGGACACAATTATATTTTTAATTCTCATACCCTGTCATCATCCCAATTACATGGGACTAAAACGCGTGATTTTATGTAGTACAATAATAAATTCGTAATCTTATTCCATTATACTTTGCAAAACCTATTATTTTAAACTTTATTACCTATAGAACTGAGGTTTTCGAACTTTACAGTTTTCTAAACAGGCATTGCTTAATCAATTACCCAGAAAATTGAAACTTGGTTAAGATTAAGAACGTGAAAGCAATTAAATCTTATCGAAGCATTAATTAATGGTACCTGAGTTCTATTGTTTGTGTACTGGTTTACATGTCTTATCACTGGTTTTATTTATGTTTCTATATTTTATAGCCTTCATAACATAACATCACGCATTTTATCCCCAAAGGGGTAGGCAGAAGTGCACATTACGGCACTTACTGCCACTGTCCAATGTAACACCCACTTTTCACTGTCATTACTCATCATAGAGTCTAATATGGTTGTTTTTATATTTTTTTATATAGGGGATTAGCCTATTGCCGTATAGGTGTCCAATATGCAGTCTTATATCTTTATAATCCTACTAATATTATAAATGCAAAAGGTTGTATGTATATGTTTGTTTGTCTCTCTCGTCTGCCACACTCCTTCACGTCAAAACTTCTAAAGGGATCGAGATGAAAATTGGAACAAGAGTAGATTATGGTCCGCAATAACACATAAGCTACTTTATATCCAACGTGAACGCGGGCAAAGAGGCTGGTAGAAGACAGTTTCAATTATTAAAAAAAAAATGTATGTCACATTTGTATTAGACCAAGATTTTCTCCTACATTGTGAAACGACTCTCTACCCTCAGCCTCAGACCCAGAACCACAATGCTCCTTATGAAGTAATAGTTGATGTAGAATTACGTCTGTGGTATAACTATAATTCGAATTTGATTGTTTATAGGTAAAATAATTCGATTATCAACATCTAATAAACGAATATAATTATGTGCGGGAATAACTCCGCGACACGTTGTATGGCCAGCGTTAGCACAACCACTGCTGCAATCGTACATTTAAAATAAATCAGTATAATATACAGCACCACAATACTTCTTTTTACGATTTTCCTTTACCAATCTTCGAATCAGGAAAAGCAATCATACAAATATAAAATAAATATAGTATACCTACATACATTACGCAACCAGTTTTGCACATAATTAGCATTAGTTTCTGTTATCAATTACAAATGGTTACTTAATTACATTTCATGCTAAACATTTTTATTCGTTAGTAATTTCATGCCTCATACAATAACATTTCATAATACATTTTTGAATAACCCATTTTTCTATTATAGGAAGATTGTGTATGCAACTTCATAATAAGGTATTTAATTTTGATTTTCAGATTGTTTAGCACTGGGACCAAGTAGATTAGCAGGACTGGCTGAATACCTGTCTGTCAGGTATTCAAAACAAATGCTATCTGTCCTGTCTAATCTAAGTACTACTGAATACACTTAAAATTAGTCCAGTTTTATACAATTACAAAATCGAACTCACCAGAAGCCGCCATATGTTCGCTAGTCCGGATCGGCTGGAATCCAACGAAGGGGATCTGCATAGACATGAGCAGTCCTACAATGTAGAATACGGTGTAGCTCACAAACAACCGCTGGGAGAACCGTCCCATTATCAGGAGCAGGAACACATGCAGAGGGATCAAGTTGATAATGAATACGTAGCCACCCCATGCTGACACCTAAAACAATAAAATTTATTTAAATTTTGATGCCTTTTATTGTTACAAATAAATTCCCAGGAAGACATATTAATGAAAAATAGTTTTATTTGTTGTCATGCAGAAAAACAAAGTAAATAAAAGCTTCTAATATCACTGTGTAGATAAATTGTAAATTATTACATTGTTTCATCTTTATTGAGTATTCAATCAATAATATTAAGATTTGTAAAGTCTACATTAAATTGCGACCTTCCCAATTTATAACAAAAGGCAATTGTTCTCTAAGGACAACTAAGACAGTCCTTATTTTTGCTTGTTAGTTCTAACATAGAACTAGAGCAGCGATCACTGTGTTGATTTTACACACCTATAAATAACAATAAGATATCCACTTACCATGTAAAAGTATGACAGGGCTGTGCAAATAGACCAGAAAACTGATCCATTCTTCAAACTCTTCAGCCATAAGTAGTAAGTGAACTGCAGAGCAAATATGGCAATACCCTCGTTGTCATAGCTCCCAGCTACTGAGCGACTACTGTAGCCGGGTATTATGGCTATAAAGCAGGCAGCAAACAGACCAGCTCCACGAGACCATAGTTCAGATGTCAGCAAGTATGTTGCAATGGCAGTCAAGCCACTAAAAAAGGAAAAAGCATTACTATGTGTTACTTATCTGATACTACACATGATGATTCTATTTAAATAAATTTTATATTGATAGAGAGTTAAATAATGCTAACATGATTAAATCTTTAGCTTTAGATTAAATCTTTAGAGTTAAAGTTACTCTAGAAAACAGTCACCAAGTATAATGTTTTATCAATAAACTGAAGTAAAGAGTATGTTCTATTTTATCAATAACAACCTACTTTATTTCCTTTTGTAGTTGTAACACTTGTACTTATCAGTGTTATCAGATCTCAGTTGCTACTAGAAATTTAATAATTCAATTTAAGTAAGAAGTTACCTGAACACAGGTGCGAGGAACACACAGATATCCCTAATGTGTATGGGAATGTTTAGGGTGTGGAGGATCCAGTGAATTGTGCCTGATGTGATCATAAGACCAGGGTACACAGTGCCGCCGACGATACGACCCAGTGGGTACCAGGCGCGCTCGTCGAACCAGTTGAGGAAGTTGTAAAACCCATGCTCCACCATGTACGCCGTGGATCGGTAGTTGAACCTATAACACGTTGGCATTAAATGGAGGGAACCTCATCCTCAACAGGTTACCACAAACATATATTTTATTCTCACTCACCATGGGTCAAACTCGTGAATTATACTTTCGAACCGTATTACAGCAAATAGCCGGGATGCGAAACCGGCCAGCCAAGCCAATGACAATACCGTAACAGTAATCAGAGTGCTAAAGCCGGCCGTGTTAGAGAATATTCCTTTATCACTGCCATTGCCCTGTCTCGCAGTTGTTGTCTGCGTCATGTTTAGGGCTGATAATACTATCAACTATCCTAATAATTCACAACAACTATATTTTCATACATCAGTCCCAACAATTCTATTCAGAAGAAAATTGACTTTTTGGATGACTGACGTACGGACACGTCTCTCTTCATAATTTGATTGCCAATTGAAAAAAAAACCATCGTCAAGACCGAATTGAATTTTCCAAGTCCGGTTTTTATGATTTCGGACTCCTGGTTGTACTGTGTAAAACTGCCTTATTATTATTTGATATGGCAATAAAAAGGTGAGATGCTCGTATGTGTGCATCTCAGCGTTACTTTTTGCAGCTGTTTGTTGACGTTGACATTTTGCCATCCATCTCTTCGGACGTAAATAAATTCCAATGAAATAAAGTTAAACACGTTCAATAAATTGAAAGAAAAAGCCGATTGACTAATGTGATTGTAGCAAACTTAAATTAAAAATGTCTAATTATCAAGAAATTGTGAACTTAAACGTTGGAGGCACAAGGTAAGTGTTCTAACAAATAGAAAGTGTGATTCAATATTTTTGTGTTTCTTTTTTATTTTTACTAAGTCTCGTTACTCTGCGCTTTGACATTGTATTTTACGAACAATTTGTACGTAAGATCTCTCACGCTAATGGTTAAGCGACTATGATCGCGAACCCCATAAAGATAATTATTAATTACAGGACCACCTCTCAATCGGCATTTTTAATGATTGTGTACAGAAACAATCTACATCTATTGTTTATTTTATACTTGGTATCGTTTTGATCAGAATGGTTTTATTAGGAATTCCATTATGGTTATGATTAAGTTTCCAATTCCTTGAATAATTCATGTTCAAATATGTAATAATTGAATTTACATGAGAATGTAAAGAAAAAATAAAAGACGTAATTAAACAAACTTTATAGATTCTCAACATCATGGCACACCCTGACCTGGGTTCCGGAGACATTCTTCACTGCCCTCCTCAGCGGCAGGATCCCCACAGTGCGGGATGAGACAGGAGCAATATTCATAGATAGAGACCCCAACCTCTTTGGTCTCATACTAAATTTTTTAAGAACAAGAGACATAGATCTCAATGATGTAAATATAAGGGCACTGAGACATGAATGTGACTATTTTGGCATCACTCCTTTGAGCAGAAGACTGGCTTTGTGTGATGAGATGAACCACTCAACTTGTGGAGATGTACTCTTCTATGGATACCTGCCACCACCACGTAAGTATTTCTTTTTAATAGAGATCAAACAAGTTGATGTATCATGGGAACCCATCAGTACCACCCGTGAACACCCAGAACAGCAGAGAAGTCAAAAGTAGCATTTTGAAAAGGATTTCACTTTACTTGTATCTTTGAAGTATAATAACAAAAATACTACTTACTACCTACAGTTAAATGGCAGTGACTCATGACCACGTCCCACAAAAAATGTTATCTAAGTTAAACAAAGCTGAATCACCCAAAACCATTATGTAGGATATAGGTATTTGTATATATATATCCGATAAATAACTAAAAAGTATAATTTAGTAATCTAATATTAGGGTAACTAACTACCATGCAATGTGTAGCGGATTGAATTGCCGCACGGAGCAAGCTAGTAATGAAACATAAACATTCTTTGGGGTTGGTTCAGTCACTAATGCAATGTAAAATACTGATTTTATTTTAATTTTGATTTTAAGTAACTGTACTTATTTATTTTAAAGCATGCAATTGTTTTGTATTTTATTTGAAGGGTACATACAACTAAATATTTTTCTAACTAAATCTTGAGTAATTTTGTTGGTCCAGTCTCGTTAACATGTGGTGGTAATCACTACTTTTACAAGATATACAAGTTTAATATCATATAACCTTTGTCTACTCTCCAGTGAAACAATGGATGACTTTCCTAAATTACTTTTCCCGCTAAAATAACAGTTTGAGTTTAGTCATCGTACTGATCAAACAATTCTGTTTGATAACATGGCGAGATTAAATTATATATTTATTTTTATGTTATCAGCAATCCATATTGTTTACCTATACAGCTTATCTCCAGTTAATCTTAATTTATATTTCACCAAAATGTAAAAGCAGCGTGAGTCAGGCCTTGTTATATGCTATCTATAGATAATAATTAATACCATCTCGGAAATGAGAGAATCGACCTCTAATGATCTCTTATTTCTGCTTCGATAATAATCTTGTTTTGGTTACGAATGCTTGTGCTGCTACGCCAAAATTAACCGGTTTATCGACAAAGATCACTATGTCATTCGGTTTTAAATTGTTAATAATAATAGAGAATCTCTCAAAAATTACTTACTTGCAGTTAACACAGCTCTGCCGAATGGCAACGGTGGACGGAACGGCAACAGTTGCTCACGGAAGAACTCGACAGCTTCAAGCACTGAGGTCGCAGTGAATAGGACACACTCCAGAAACTCTTCGCTCGATCTCCGTACCGTTGGCAGGATACCCTCGCAAGATCAATTAAGGTTTGCACCACCCACCATGTTTTTATATCCACATACGAATATAGGATAATCAAACGAAATAAATTCAATTCAATGCTTATTAGAAAATGTATAAAACAATATGATTTTTGATAGTACCGACAACATCGCGATAATGTCGATTGTAAGTTGTAACGTCAATTTTACATCAAATAACATACTTTTTTCTGAACTGAATTTTTTTCTATAAAAATACAAAAGTATTTTATTTTATTGTATGGAAAATCGAAATAATCTGATTTTAGCTTTGCTTTCACCTAATTTTGAAACAAAACATTATCTCAGCTAACTAACTACTTTATACTTAGTGTAAGTTTTCCTCGAAAACTAATCTCTTTAGGCTTTGATCAATATTTCGATAAGTATGATAACGGATGATTGGCACGATTTCGGAAAAAATAGTTATCTGTGTAGGCAGTTGAATATTGAAAATACCCAAGTCGGTAATTTAAAAGATCTATGTATGAGTAACTCTATGATAGTCAGGATCAGGATTCAATCAATTCTTAATCTAATAAAATATAATGGTCCGCAGTCGTTGTGGCAGAGGACATTCAAGAGCAGCTTCACTTGGTAACGCGGACAGCCACAAGGGACATCGACCGCCAGACAGTAAGTATCAATTACCTACGACAGCGATTCTCAAATGCAGAGCTATCAAAATAGAGAAAAAAATATATTCACGCGTAAAACAAGCGACATACTACAAAGCATAGGGCAAAGTAATAAAATAACATTATTAAACAGGGTGGAATTTTGTAATGCCACCTTAACGGGAAGTACTCTTAATACTTAAGATAGAAAATTTTACTCAAAGAAAAAATTCCTTTATTTCTAAAAAGAAACAAAACTACATTCAAAGATTTATCTCTTGCCGCCCACGGTTATCGAACTAACTAAAATCTGTAAAAGTTGCACCTAGTTGTATTGCATTTTATTTTAATACCTGTGTTTTGTACCTATTGTTTTACCACATGACACAGCTTGGGATTTAAATGGGTCTCGAAGAGGCAGGTGTAAAAATTACTGGCCCCTATCGAACTGTCTTTTTAGTAACACTGTCCTACATCATACATATCTATATAGGCTACAGTCTATTGCCATTATGCCTGTATCACCGTGTAATCAGTGCAATTCAACCCGTGATTCACCCATTGTGCGCTCCTATATATCATTCTATAGTCAATTATGTTGGACGTAACTTATGTTTGTTTCAATTATTATGTTTTCGGCTTACTCGCGTAATAATTTGACGAGGAGCTCCCATGCTAGAGGCTCATACGCGGCGACTATCGCGCTGCTACTCAGACAGTGAATATGAGCCTCTAGCATGGCTTGAAACTAGTCGAGTCCCTCGTCAAATTATTACGTGAGTAAGCCGAAAACATAACAATTTATTTAATATGTCTCACGAAAGTTACAATACAAATATATGTTTGTTTAAGTAACATAAAGTCATAACTTTCATGAGAACTTAGTCTGGCTTGAAAGATGCTTTGTTTGTGCTATAATCTCGCTTGGTCATTTTTCTAAACTCTGCACTGCCTCATTGGCCGAGTGGTTGCAAGTGCGATGCCGGGAAGGGGGTCGGCTTTGAATACCGGGTAGGGCAAAGTATTACTAGACTAAAACTCAGTAGTTGCACGGAGTCTGGAAATGTGCCCGGTATATGGCAATATAGACTCACCCCCTATTACATGGGACTCATAACATAAATAGTGAAAAGTGGGTGTTACATTGTATAGTGGCATTGAGTGCAGTAATTTGAACTTCTGCCTACCCCTTCGGGGATAAAAGGCCTGATGTTATATTATGTTCTTTTTTCTAATAATATTTCTGTTATAATCTCAAAGAGATCGCTCCTGTTCCGGTTAAGGAAACCGAAAAATATGATATCAGTCTTAACAGATTGTACCGGAAGATATGGTAGATTTTGGACAGTAAGTGTTTTCAGTAAGTTTCGCTCTCGCCTTACCCAAGACGGGAGAAATCCCTAGATAATTTCCCCCCTTTACAAAAAAGGAATTTGAGGATTGCAAATATTGCAATTTAACTTATTTTCATGATTTTTAATCTACATTTTTCATTAAATGCAATCAAAACTGCACTACACTATCGTCTTTCGTAATCCTTAATGCAACTCTTACTATATACGACTTTACGTTAATTTCAGACTAATGAAATAGTACCCGGATGACCAAGCTCGGTGTTTTTTTTAGTAAACGACATTTTCTGAATGTGAACCCTAGCTATATCGATTTATCGCCTTCAAAACCCCTAGATACAATACAGGGTGTAAATGGAATGCTCCCGCCTCCTAGATACAACACAGGACGGAAAGGGAACACAACCGGAAAACGCTGATAAAAAATGTTTTTACAATTATAGTCGTTTTTGTTTACGTTTTATTCGTACAACAAAAAACCTCGACCAGTTGATTACAACTATTAAAAATAGAAGAAACATTTCATTCCTATATACTTTCCATATACTTTAATGAAAATAAAATGTGTTTCGACCATCACCTGCGTTCCGTTTTCAACCTGTATTTCAAAAAAATTGTTGGTGTCATTTCCGAGATTGTTGACATATAATACATATATAAGAATTGCTCGTTTAAAGGTATATCA